ATCTGGAGGGCTGCTGGCTATCCTTACCTGTGTTTCATAGTCATAAGTGCAGGCAGGCTTAAGTGGCTTCTTGAACTCCGCCTAATAACACTTGTTTTCAAATGCTAAAATTATTCTACAATGAATTTTGTCGATTTCCTTACAAGCACCTTCATTCCCCAAATTTTTATTTGTCCAAGGAAGTTAAACTTGGGAGTAATTTAATACAGAAGAACCTAACTTGACGTCTGTCTTTTTAACTGGAGAAGTATTTGGGTATTTCCGAATCATAACCAATTCCTCCATATAAGATTCTAAGCAGTGAATAGCACTAACACTCCAGATACAACTAATGCTGGGCCATTAGAGGAAAAAAAACGCAGGATGTGTAGCAATGTTTACTATGTTCCTTTTTTTACAAAAAGAGAAATGTGTTTAACTACATTCAAGATGTTGTACCAGTGTTATTCTACACTTTTTACATTCGGCACTCTTCTCGGACAGAAGGTAATCAAGCCTTCTTTGTGGCTCTTGTGTGTAAGTGTATTGAAAGTTGAGTATATACTGAATGCCTCAGCTGCTTGGGAGAGGAATTCTTCCCGAGTCTATTCGTGAATTTGGGAGGGAATGTACATCCTGTTGACAGGGGAGGAGTGAATTGGGGGCTCGGCTGTACTAAGGATCATTTCAATTTACTAGAATCAATGCCACCTTCCCACAGGTTTTGTTGGAAGGGATGTCAAGTGACATACGTTCTGTGTGTGGCTACATCCTTAGTACAAGCAAGCTTTGCATTTTGCTGGCAACTGCTGCTGTGATCTAAACCACTTTTTCTAATGTAGACTTCCTTCTCTGTCCTGGGCTTAGCACAGGCATGGGCAAACTAAAGGCTGGGGGCCGGATGCGGCCCCCTGGGCGCTTACCTCAGGCCCTCCTCATTTTCCCTGTCCTCTTGGTATAAGGACACGGTGGCCCGCAGCATCCTTGTGCCAAAAAGATGGGGGAGGAAGTCACGCGAAAGCTGAGAGCCCTCTGGAGCACTCTCAGCCACCACATGTCTCGCCCCCCATCCCGGCATAATGCTAAGAGGACAGCCGGAGGATCGGAGGAGGATCAGGACAGCTGCCCACAGGTCTTGCCTTCCTCCTGGCATAAGGATGGGGTGAGCAACCCCGTCCTTTGGCTGGGAGGACAACCTAAGAATGACCCAGGCCCTGCTCTGCCCCTCTTTGCCCTGCCCTCTCCTGGGCCCACCTCGCCCAGCGTGTGCCCGGCTATCATCCCTCCTGGCCTGGCCCTTTTGGCTGAGCCTGCAATGTGGCCCCAAGACAAAAAAGTTTGTCCATGCCTGGCTCAGTGGCTCCATTTTCCCAAATGGCAGTTTTGTGTTTGCATCTGAACTTTTTTTGATGAGCAGAATCAACACACTGGGCTCCCTTTTGCACTGTCAAATAGCTCTCCTCCTGCCTTGTTCTTTGGTGTCATTCTTCCTGGCTCCTCTCCATGCTCTCTTACCCTTTGTTTGTAATGTTCAGCTGCAGTGTTCAAGCTTCGCAAGGTGAGAGCAGCTGCCTCCACCCTTCACCCATCTGTCCAACCACAAAAAGATAACGAATTAAAAAAACACTTTAGACACCATTATTTTGCACTTTCTTATGTATAAAAATCAGTAGAATCTTATATTTTGCTTTGTATCATTTGAAAGACTCTCCTTTTTGTTTTGGTATATGAGCTGTGTATAAAAATATTTATGCAGTAAGAACTGTTTTTAGAAAATATTTTTAATTTCAGCAAGTTTGGTTACTTGTTGCATGACTTAACACAACTGACTTTTTGTGTCAGTGCAATGTATATTTTTTGTCCAGTTATTAATTTCGTAAACCCAAGGGTAAATGGCCATTTATTTGTACAGCAACAGGAGTAAATTGAAGATAACTGGCTATAACTGGAGGAGGGATGGCGTTTTGTACTATATTGCAGAATCCAGTATCTGTTTTTTGGTGGTTATGTAAAAGGCCTGAAGAATTACTATCTAGTGTGCGATCTGTGATATCTGAATGTTTTATTGTATATTCGTCTCCAATGCAAAAAGGTAGAGTAACACAATTACAATACATGATTAAATGCAATAGTTCAGGTACTTTTCTGTTTTGTTTTCTTTTTCATTTCCAATAAATACTTGCTATTTACCACCAATGATTCTGTGACTCTTTTTGCCAAATGATTTAAGCGTAAGGTGTGAATGTAAGCGTGCTTGAAACACATAACATACCTATGCGTCCAAAAAAGATGCATTACTTTTGCAAAAATAAATGTTGGATGCTTAAAAGTTAGCATTACATAGAACCATAAAGTTGGAAGAGACTTCATGGGTCATTCAGTCCAAACCCTTGCCAAGAAGCAGGAAAATTGCATTCAAAGCACCCCTGACAGATGGCCATCCAGCCTCTGCTTAAAAGCCTCCAAAGAAGGAGTCTCCACCACACTCAGAGGTAGAGAGTTCCACAGCTGAACAGCTCTCACAGTTAGGAAGTTCTTCCTAATGTTCAGGTGGAATCTCCTTTCCTGTAGTTTGAAGCCATTGTTCCTCACATCTTGATCAATGGCCCTCATCATGTCTCCTCTCAGCCTTCTCTTCCGCAGGCTAAACATACCCAGCTATTTAAGCTGCTCCTCATAGGGCTTGCTCTCCATTCAAATCATTTTAGTCACCCTCCTCTGGACACATTCCAACTTGTCAACATCTCCCTTCAACTACGGTGCCCAGAACTGGACGCAGTGTGATTCCAATTGTGGTGTGACCAAGGCAGAATAGAGGGGGTAGCATGACTTCCCTGGATCTGGAAACTTTGCCTTTGTGAAATAGTGCAACTGTATGTATGTCAGCACAAGACACAAACTTGATTCCAGTTCCAAAGTCTGTCAGAAGGTGTTAGGAGAATAAGGTACTCACTTTTCCCAAGGCAAAAAAAAGTGTCGGGATTACTGGAGAAGAGAAAAAAATCTTACCGTACTTTGGATTTCTGCTGACAAGATCAAAGGGCATTCTCTCTGTGTTTCTAGGAGCCAAGGGCAGTGTAACGTAACTATGTTGTTATTTTTCCTAGAGAAAGAGGCTAATTTCTTTCCCACTTTGGGCAAGCCTTCCCCCTGAAGCACATCAATCTGGTCCTGTTGCTTGCAAACTCCAAGGTGGCATTCAAGACCAAAATCCTACAATTGGAAAGTTGTTACATGTCTGCAAGTCATTTCCTAATTATGGTGACCCCAAGGCCACCATATCAAGAACTCTTCTGGGGTTCAGTGTGTGTGACTTGCCCACGGCCACCCAGTGGGTTTCCATGGTGCAACCATGAATCAAACTTTTGTCTCCAGTCTCATAGTCCCAAAACTCAAACCACTACATCAGTGATTCTCAACCTGTGGGTCCCCAGGTGTTTTGGCCTACAACTCCCAGAAATCCCAGCCAGCTTACCATGTTTGGATTTCTGGAAGTTGAAGGCAAAAACATCTGGGGACCCACTGGACTACACCACGCTTGGCTCTCTATAGGATAAAAATTCTGCATATGAAACTACTATACACCTCCCAGTACACCAGCTCAAAAATCGATTGCAAGGATTTCAGCCCAAAGGCTTATTGTATCTTTATGAATAGATCTATGAGTGGGGTGCACTCTCCATCTTCAAACCTGCATGGACTATTCTCAGGGATGTTGTAGTTGTACATGGCAAAAGGGAGTTGGATTAGATGGCCGTGCGCCCACTCCAACTCTTAAGATTCCATGTGTCATGGGATGAGGTTCTATTTGAAGTCAGGAGAGTGTCAGGTTCCACAAATGTTCTTGCACCAAAGATCCCAAAAGCAAAGGGGGAAATGAAGGAAGTCAGCTGGAATTAGCAGGCTCCAAATATCCTTTAAAACATTGTTTTCCTTATTCTAGTATATCCTAGAATTCTTGTAGTGCATTGTTTTTTCTGTGATTCTTACTCCATATCTGATGGTTTCAGTCCATATGAATGTAAGAAAATGAAATGTCCATCTACACAATTGCGAGTGCTGGTGTGCATGCCGGTTCTAACCCCATTGTGTCAAATCCTCCTAACTGCTGTACAGATAAATGAAGGAGAAAGAACAATCTGCATATCACTTAAAACAGTGGTTCTCAACCTTCCTAATGCCACGACCCCTTAATACAGTTCCTCACATTGTGGTGACCCCCAACCATAAAATTATTTTCGTTGCTACTTCATAACTGAAATTCTGCTACTGTTATGAATCGTAATGTAAATATCTGATATGCAGGCTGTATTTTCATTCACTGGACCAAATTTGGCACAAATACCCGATATGCTCAAATTTGAATACTGGTAGGGTTGGGGTGGGATTGATTTTGTGATTTGGGATATGTAGTTGATGGGATTTATAGTTAACCTACAATCAAAGAGCATTCTGAACTCCACCAACAATGGAATTGAACCAAATTTGGTACACAGAACTCCCATGATCAATAGAAAATCCTGGAAGGGTTTGGTGGGCATTGACCTTGAGTTTTGGAGTTGTAGTTCACCTACATCCAGAGAGCACTGTGGACTGAAACCAAACTAGGACCAAACTAGGCTCAAATACTCAATATGCCCAAATATGAACACAGATGGAGTTTCGGGAAAATAGACCTTGACATTTGAGAGTTGTAGTTGCTGAGATTTATAGTTCACCTACAATCAAAGAGCATTCTGAACCCCACCAACAATAGAATTGGGCCAAACTTCCCACACAGAACCCCCAAGACCAACAGAAAATACTGTGTTTTCTGATGGTCTTTGGCAACCTCTCAGTCACCCCCTCGTGACACCCCCCCCCCCCCCCCAGGGATCCCGACCCCCAGGTTGAGAAACACCGACTTAACGTCTTTTGATAGAAGACATAAGTTGATGCAGCTAGGAGTCAAGGGATAAGAGAAAACAGGATCTGTGAACTTTAGCCAGCGAACACAATAAGGTGTTTAACAAGTCGGAATATTAAGACTTTGATCAGAGCTTTTATTATCCCCAAGCCCATCTCTACAAAAGTAAACTAAGATATATATCTATGTTCAACATTTACATTATATACACATCATTTTCTACAGTTTTTCTAAACAAGGCAGAGGTGTCTCACCCAAGAGAAGTGCATGTTAAAGGAAAACATTGGAGGGATTTTCATTACACTGTTTATTTAAAAGAGGGAAAGGGAAAATGAGAATCTGAAATATCCCAGGTGTGTATTGAAGAAAACACAAGTTAAAACAAGCAGATCTCCACTTGCCTTTCTATATCAAGGTCCAACAAATGAAGAAGAATGTACTGATGCAATTCAGAGAGCACAGCTCCTTCACAATTTTCAGTTGTATTGTCAAAGGCTTTCATGGCCGGAATCACTGGTTTGTTGTGAGCTTTCCGGGCTGTATGGCCATGTGTCAGAAGCTTTTTCTCCTGATGTTCCACCTGCATCTATGGCAGGCATCCTTAGAGGTTGTGAGGTCTGTAGGAAACTAGGAAAAGGGGTTTATGTATCTGTGGAATGTCCACGGTGGAAGAAAGAACTCTTGTCTGTTTGGGGTAGTTGTGAATGTTTAGCATTTAATGGCCTAGCAATTTCCAGGTCTGGCTTCTTATTGCCAGAGCAATCCTTTGTTGGGAGGTGATTAACTGGCCCTGATTGTTTCTACTAGGCCATTAAATCAAGGTGGCCATTTGCACCATTCACACTTGACACAAACAGACAAAAGTTCTTTCTCCCACCCTGGACATTCCACAGATATATAAGCCTCTTTTTCCTAGTTTCCCACAAACCTCAACCTCTGAGGAACTCTGCCATAGATGCAGGCGAAATGTCAGGAGAGAATGCTTCTGGAACAAGGCCAAACAGCCCGGAAAACTCACAACAAAACAACTTTGAGTTGTTTTAATTGAAATTGTCAGGCCTGGCAAATGGCTTCCTATGGGCACCCCTTTATAGACTTTGCCACAACCTGCTTATATTGTAAACCTGAAGTGTGAGTTTTCACCCACTGCACGTAATATTCTTACATGGTCTCTAAAAAGCACACAGAAAGCCCTTTTTCAATAGCATTCCGGAGACAAAATGATTCTAAAGCAGTAAGAGTACATCCAAAAACATTTCACTTTTAATGAATAGCAGCATTTTACAATGAGTTCTTTTAACAGTGCAACAGAGCTGGCAGGTCCAGCTCCTCTCTTAAATTTAATGGCTTAATTACAATCTTATTTCAAAACAAATGCTAAAAACATTACACCCAAACAACCCAAATGTTACAGTTATATAATAAAACTAAATTCTGTATTTTCCCCAAGACTCTTCTTCAGGACAGACTAATTTTATTAGGCAGATGTTTTCGAGGAAAAACTGTTCATACCCAAGTCTCAGCAGCCTACACCTAATTACTTACTTCAGTGCAAAAATTCCTACTGAAATCTTAAAACCTGAACCCAGTAGCATTGTTTTTCAATTAGGCTCTCCTAAGTTTTAGGCTGTGCTCTGTTCTGGTTTCCCAGTTTAAACCCACTGGGTTGTATGCTTTGTTTTTAGTCCAAAAGACTGAAAGGTGACCCCAGCACTTTAGGAAACTAAAGAATTTGCTCATGCACAGAAAAATCCTAGAAGACAGGTGTATTAAAAACACAATATCACTGACTGCCACTGCCATGACAGTGGGCTATAAATAAATAGGGATCCCCACAGGTCCACACAAGGGCAAATACAGGTCCGTTCCTGTTCCTCTCCTGTATAGACACTAAAATAATGCAGGGAAGAGTGGAAGCCCTAATGCAACTCTGTCACCTGAAGAAGCCCACCATGTACTTCACAAGCAACAAGGTTTAACTTCTTCAGAACACCCAGTACCATATTAATTTGATGAATAAATGTAAATAGACAAGTTGTTTTGTGACTTTTAAGAGTCTACATATCCAGCCTCATAGCCCCAAAATGACTGCTTCCTGCTGCCAAGTCATTTGTGTCCTACATGTGCCCTTGCAATAATGGCACGGCTCTATGCTGATTGGTAAAAAAAATCCACAAAACAGCTCTTCCCTATACCCCGAATAGCAAAAAAAATCAGCTGATGCTATCACACCACCGCGGCTTTCTGTATCTGATTTTGTCATAATTGGAAAAGCACATGAGGAAAAAACACTAGCACTGCTCCCTTGCCACCAGAGCAAATTAGAACATGCGTAGTAAAGTTTACCCCCAACTCTTCTACAAATTACTGCTTAGCATTTAGACATTGGCAATCTGCTACTCACCTACTCCAGACTAATCTCTAACATTGCAATAGCACAATATAAATGAGTTTCAAGAGTGATGTAAACACATGTCATCCATGCAAGAGTCAGAAGTTAATGTGCCATTACTTTTGCTACATGGTTTAGCTTAAGGAAGCCAGACTAAGCTGAAACTGTCGCCATCCAACACATCAGCAATACCAAACCTGAGCAGTTCATTGAAAAGGAAGTCTTCCCCTATGATACAACCCTCTTTGAAGGTTGTCTTGCACAAAGCCCATTTCATCTAAGTGGAAGCTGCAGGTCCTCTCCAAAAGGTTTTCACAGGAAGCCGCTGCAGGCAGGATTGTACTCCTAATGCCCTCAAGTCCTATTACATTAATCACTACCACACTACGTTTTTGGTTTATGTGTGCATCAAAGTTATTACTTTATTTGCTTTAAAAATATAGTTTTGGATTATTACATGATGAAAGAAACTACAAAGCAGCAACTCATGCCACGACTATTAGGAATGACGCATTTCATGCAGACTTGTGCAAAAGGAGAGTTGGCTAACACTTGAAGGCCTGCCCTTCCCACAGATCCAGATCAGGGGTGTTGCCGAACAAATACCCTCAGGATCACAGTGCAGACGGATGGGAGAGCCAATCCACCTCTCATCCTAGAGCGCCAGTTTAGCCAACAGGCCAAAGCAGACGAGGCCACCCTATCTTCATGAAAATGGTCTCAATGAGGCTAGAGCTTGCTCACGTATTGCACTTAACACAAGGCAGAAAAAAAGAATTTCCATTAAACCACATCTCAACCCTGAGGCACAACCGAACACATTTTTGAAGAGCCACCAATCCTTGGGGCCCAAAAGTCCTGGACAAAGCATGCTGGTAAAGAAGAGGACAACAGCTCGTGGAGGTGTTTTGTGCTTCAAAACAATCCTTGCAACTCCCTTCTCCCACCTCGGAAAGGGTATTTCGCTTTGACAAGGACCTGTGCCTTTCCACCTGCTGCTCCACCCCAGGCTTTGCAAATATAGAAACAAACCAACCTGAGGAATCTAGAAAACAAAGGTATTTGTCACAGGGCCCTTTCCTATTTTTTGGAGGTAATATAACAGCATAAAATAGCCTCTATTGCCATTTGCTTATTTAGTTCGACTGTCAACTAAAATCGTAGTGCCAACACAGTAATATTAGAACGTTATTAAATGAACTGGAGTCATTAATAGCATTGCACTAAAATGAGTTCTTATGAAGGACTTGCACACTCCCAAGTATCCCTTTGTTTATTTTACGCTAGATTGAGGGAGTGTGTGTCTCGCCATTTAAAAATAATTGTTTTTAAAATTAAAATAAAAACCTGAAGCGGAAAACTAAGGGAGATGCCTCTTTTCATTAACCCAAAAAACTGAACTAGGTAACAGAAACATGCAATCATTTTGAAAGAACTTAAACCTTGCATTGCCTCCTGGGTATTCACAGTAATCGCAGTAAACAGACATTCATCTTTTCAGACCCACCGTCTGGCTTCAGTCCAACGCACCTTGCTCTGCACAAGCAAAACCGCATTTCCAGTTGTGCTTCTCTTTACAATCCACACTTTGGCCGTTCTATCCCCTCAGAGGTGCCTGAAGGATCCCCTTTTCAATGAGGTGCAACTTCAGAGTTTTATAAACACTTAATTGCTCTTCTGGCTGCAGCACCAACAGCTGTTTCAGTAACTTGCTGGGATTAGGGCCTCTGGCAATTAGATTCAAGGAGAAAAAAAGTGCATGTCACTTCCCCTTTCTTCATTAGTAAATGCATGCATGCAGAAACACACACACACACACAATCAATGACCAGCACCAAAAAATGTAGAAATGTCAGAACAGAAACATATACATTTGAGTATTAAGAAACACTGTCAAAAGCCAAGTTAAAACCCAGTATTGAATATGATTGTTAAAATGCTAAAATTTATATGCTAAAATGATAATGGTAAACACTCAAATAAATATTAAAATCTTCTAAGACAGTGACAGCATCTTGCGCCAGCAAGTTATTGTAGCTGCACAAAAGTAGGCAACTTTGGAAGTAATTTTGAAGTATTGGTCAGCCAAAACATAACCAACATAAAACCTTACAGATCTCCCAGGTAGACTTTCTAAAACTGGATTTATAAAATGTTTACGAAGGTTTTGGTAAAAAGAGCAGTACAACAAAACGTGCTCCACAGTTTCCACTGCCTTAGCCTCACAATTATACATTATAAGCCTGTTTTTAAAATCATACAAAAAAGCCTAAAGCATTTCAATTTGAATATAAGCAAAAGGCTATATGAGGTAGCATGCTTTCTATATATAACAAACTTTGCTGCAGATATACCCCATCTTATCACTAAAGCTAGCTACTGAAAGGGGGATTTCACTGCTACTCCCAAATAATATATAAACTTTTGGGTTTTACATAAGCATTGACCTTAATAATATTAATACATTTATTACCCGCCTTTCTCTTTGGCTTGAGGAGTGGTACAACATCATTATAACAAGAGATAAAACACTATTAAAACACATCCAACAAGATACACAGATACAATAGAAGTTAAAATCCAGTCATTAAAAAATAACAATTCTGGTGTGCCTTCAAGTCTATTCCAATTCAGGGCAGCCCTAAGACAAACGTTTCATGGGGTTTTTCTGGGTGAAATTTGTTCAGAAGAGGTTTGTCTCTGCTACTATACCATACTGGATCTAATTCAGTAAATTACTGGGCGAATCTTCTCTAGCTGGGAGCACCAACCATATTTAGGCCTAAAATTATCAGCAGAAGCAGGAACATTTGACATCCCCTACATGATATGCCAATCACTAAAACAGATTGCACATGGGGACAAATAAAAATGCTATCAAACGTCTCATTAATGCTCCAGTGAATATCCAACATTCTGATAAAGCGATCAGCTTTGAAAGCATTACCCTGGAACACTGACATAGAATTGGAAGAGACCTTGTGGGCCATCCAGTCCAATCCCCTGCCAAGAACAGTGAACATTAGGAAGAACTTCCTGACTGTGAGAGCTGTTCGGCAGTGGATCTCTCTGCTCCAAAGTGTGGTAGAGGCTTTTAAACAGAGGCTGGAAGGCCATCTGACAGGGGTACTTTGAATGCAATTTTCCTGCTTCTTGGCAGGGGGTTGGATTTGATGGCCCACAAGGTCTCTTCCAACTCTATGATTCTATGAGACTTTAACAATAACTATGATATGAACGTAGGGTTTTACACATGGCAGAATTCACTGCCCGTAGGGTTTCTCAATCTCCCTCAATCCAGGCTCCTATCTTCTGACATGCCTTTAATGCAAGTTTCTAAGAAGCTAGTTTTAAAAACTCTGGTGTTCAGAGTTGTAGCCCAGCACTCAAAACCACTATGCTAAGCTGGGTCCTTTCAGACACACTAACTGAAAATAATGGGTCGCCTACAGGTCTCTCCCCAATATCAGAACAATATCTTTGTCAAACTCTCTGAAACTCTTAAACGGTTTCCTATAGGAACATACCTTATGAAACTGGTGATATAGACATGAACAAAGGTAGCCATCAAGTACTGACAGTCAAAGCGGTCCATTATTCCACCATGGCCCGGAATAGTGTCGGCAAAATCCTTCAGGATAAAAAATGAATTAAGAGTTGAACTGATTCAGAAGTTATTTTGTCCAATCAAATTAATCAATGGGAAAACCTCCTCAGTATCAAATACCTCTTTTAGATATTTAAACTATTCCCTTTAAACTATTCTTGATTCAGCCAAAAAAAAAAAACATTTTGAGGGGATTGACTGGACAGGATTATAATGTTTCCTTTTGGCACATGACATGAACATACACAAGGGTTACCACCCCCTTTTGATGCAGGGTATTACCATGCATTGATTCTGCACCAGAAAAAAATCTTCGACATTGACAGATGTATATAAATTATATTCTTGCTATATGGAATCTAACTAATGGTAGCGTAGCAAATTAAACTGCTGAGCTGCTGAACTTGCTGACCAAAAGGTTGGCGGTTTGAATCCAGGGAGCGGGGTGAGCTCCCGCTGTTAGCCCCAGCTTCTGCCAACCTAGACATTCGAAAACATACAAACGTGAGTAGATCAATAGGTACCGCTTCTGCGGGAAGGTAACGGTGCTCCATGCAGTTATGCTGGCCACAGGACCTTGGAGGCATTTACGGACAACGCTGCTCTTCAGCTTAGAAATGGAGATGAGCACCACCCCCCAGAGTCGGACATGACTACACTTAAATGTCAAGAGAAACCTTTACTTTACTTTATAAACAAGTATAATGCACATTTTAAATAATTTCTATCCAATAGCTGAAAAGCTTTACTTTTACTTTTTTAATGTATTTTTGGCAATATGTTCATCTTATATTAACTTGGATCACTATATAAATTAATATATTTCTTTTTACTTATTTGTTTCTAATGTTTTTCTTTTCTCTGTGATTTTTTTTCAAATCAAAGTTTTAAAAAATGAGTAATAAAAAGAAGCCAAATAAATTCAGCACATTGCAACAACCATACAACTATGTTATATCCTGCCTTAAGTATTGAGGAGAGGCAGCTAACAAATAAAATTTATTATTATTATCATCATCATCACTAATCAAAAGAATTATATTTCTTATATGTCCTTTAAGCCATTAATCGGTTACATTGAATTACAACTGAAACCTTTTGTATTTTTGTCCAGCTGAAAAAACTCATTCCTGGCTAACTGAACGAGCAGCTTTTATTTTATTTTATTTGTAAATCCACATATTTAAGAGTGTGCCTGACATAGTCAAGGAAATCTTACAAAATGCTAATTGATACACACCTTGATTTTGAAAGCTCTTTTAAACCCGCTTGCAAAAAACCCTCCAAATGGCCCAATTAAGGATGCAAAAGTTGACAAAGCGATGCTATGCATTTGGAATGGATACAAATTCACAGATTCCTGCAAGAAATTATATAGTCATTAATTTCCTTTAGCATTAACTAACATGAGATAGCTCTTCTGTCCCCACTAATTCCCACACAAGATCAGTCTCAAGAATATGTACATTTAATAAAAAAAGTCTGCAAACATAGATGAAGATTTTGCTGGGGAAATCAGGATAGTTTTTATGTCCCTAGTATATAAGACAATCACAATTACTGCCTTGCAAAGACAAAAGTGATGGCACAGGCTGAGGACATGTGTCTTTCCCTTTCTTTAGCTCTTTCCCTCCCTTTCTCTCTTTACTAGTTAGCATTTGGCAATGGCCACAAACTCGCTTTGGGAAGCTTTCACACACCTGCCATCTTCTGCCAAGCAAGACAAAGTAAGAAATTAACAAATTAAGTGACATTTCCCCTTCTTTTTCTGGAAGGAACTCAATCACAGAAAAGACCCACAGATGCAATTTCAAATGTCACAGCAATCCAGAAGGATTGGGGGGAGGGGGGGGGACAGGAATTGGGTCAAAACTCTCTTTCTTCCCATCCACCTGTTTGTATTAGCTAAATTGTGGAGGGAGCATCAGAGGCTGTGGAAATTATTACTGGGTCTCAGCTATGTACAAGGATTATGACTGGCTGAAAGGGACAGAGGTGCAGACTAATTCCAGAGTGCATAATCTCATAGAGCAACTGCCTAAGAGTGAATTTTTAAAAGGTGTGGCAGAAAATGTTCAAAGCAGTCACATAATCAATTCCTTATGGAACCATTACGAACCATCTTAGTAAAGATACTGCTAAGAGGAAGAAAACCAACTGCCACAAAAAACCAGAGCATGCAGGAAAAGCTACCCAAGTAGCTGCTCCTAAGAGTATCATCACAATGACCACTCTCCTTTGAAGCTCCCCTTCAAGAAACCTGGTTAGAAGCTCCAAATCAGCACCGATAGATTGGAATTGACAGCCATCAAGCTGATATTTGTTGCCTTCTGACTCTTTCTGTGACCTTAGCCAATACTGAGAAGCAATTCTGACTCTGGGCACAAGACTCACATTTGTTCACCTATGACAACAACACCTCAGTGAAGTTAATAATGTATGCAGTCTGGAAGGAACTTTCAACATCTGTTCATAGGAAAACCAGAAATATGCCAAAATTAAGATTGATTTCTGCCTAGTTAATAATATATAACCAGGCAATCAAACAGCCTGGGCCACTTGAAAGTGATAGGCAATGCAGCACATCATACAGGCCCATGAAACTGCAGCAGTCTCTCCACAATGCCTTCATTGCCAACTATATCTTCCAGAATAAAGGATGTGCTCTTCGCTTACTGACCAAAAGTTTCCTGTATACATTTCTGCCTAGTCTACCTCTACATTTGCTCCTTCACCTAATCTGATTGTACAAAAGCTTTTGGGAATGGAAAGTAATGGAATCTACTAACAGGAGAAACTTGGGAATAATTCTGCATTACATTATTTGCCATCAGGTGACCCCGAGAGGTGGTTTTCCTAGTTCCTTCTTCTGAACAGCCTACAGCACTTGGTCTTCACTTGTGGTCTATATCCAAATCCTAACCAGGGCTGATCCTGCTTACTTCAAAGGCCAGATGGGATCTAGTGCTCTTGAAGTGTCACGCTACTATTTACTATTTCATTGGATATATTGGTGGCAAAGGGATGAAAAACTTTAATACATGCTCCTCCTATTTTTACTGGTCTAAGTCATTGGTTCTCAACCTGTGGGTCCCCAGATGTTTTGGCCTTAAACTCCCAGAAATCCTAACACCTGGTAAGCTGGCTGGGATTTCTGGGAGTTGTGGGCCAAAACGCCTGGGGACCCACAAATTGAGAACCACTGGTCTAAGTGTTAGAATCAGGCTCCTAAGAAAGACTACATTATACTGATTTCATGAATACATTTTTTATTTCATGATTTAAGCTTACTTACTCTTCCTAGAAGAACCTGAAGTAATGGTGGTAAGGAGTATTTCTGTAACTGGAACAATTCTGAAGGTTCACATTCTGTGACAAATCTGTTAGTCTCACTGTTGTATTCCACAGGGCATACAAAATACTGATACTGAGCCAAAAGATAGGCAGCCTGAAAAGCACAATAAGGATATAGAAAATTTTTATAACAAACCAAAGGCTACTCAAATGTCATAACATAGAAACATAGACTCACCCCAAGCCAAGCTCCATGGATGGTCACAAGCAACAATGTGCCCAGCACAACTTTATGGACAGGCAATGAAGTGTCAGGTTGTGAGTCAAGGACTTCTCCCTTTAAAGCAGTGGTTCCCAACATTTTTTTTTTTTTACCAGGGACCACTCTCCACATTAGTAGTACCAAAAGGGTTACTGTTAGGTTTGGTTGTTTGGGGTGCTGATTCAGAAAATTACATTGGATAGACCATATCAGCTCTAGTTTCTGATACAGAACATATGCCATCCAGTAGTTGCCATCTGCTTGCCCACAGAAAACTATATTTAATCATCTAGAGCTGATGTGGTAGTAGTAATTTTTCATGGGTAGTCAGCCTTTCCCCTTCCGACAACCCCATTGCCTCGGCACTATAAGAGGATTTTGCAAGACCTGTCGCTCTCGTTGCCATGTGGTTTTGAGGCAACGGTTTAGTAATAGTGGGGCCACAGATCATATTTTTGTTCCGGTGGACCACTGATTGGGAACCACTGCTTTAAAGCTTCCTTACTTTAGTGGGGAAGTGTGTAGTCAGTCCAATTCCCGACACTACAGTGACAGGGTGCTCATATGACTTGAAGCTACATTCACTTGAAGCTTAATTCTGCCAGGGCAGGTGGTTCCCAAATCCGGGCAATCTACCTGCCCTGGATGAGGTTACACTCCCCCTGAGGAAGCAAGTATATAGGTTGGGGGCATCATTAAATCAATCTCTGTAACTAGACAGCTACATAAGCTGAGAGTGCTTGGGGTCCACTTCAACTGGGGTTCCTTTCTTGAGCAGATCTAACCTAGCAAGGCAACTCCATGCACTGGTAGCTTACTCCAATGCACTTTACATGAGACTGTTCTGCAAAACACGTTGTAGAGAAACCATGTAACATCATTTTTAAAAGACAGGTTGTGACTTCAATATCTGAAAGGGGACCCCCCTCCCTGCATATACCTGCTTGAAGGCTGCCAAAGGGAGCCCCCACTGTACCCAGTCACTGCTTTGAGTAGCACTGTTTCGGAGAATTGTGTACTATTGTGCTATACTGCTGGATTTCAGAGAATTATAGAATCATTGAGTTGGAAGAGACCTCATGGGCTATCCAGTCCAACCCCCTGCTCAAAGCAGGAAAATTGCATTCAAATTTCATTTATTTATGTATTACTGTTCTTTATAAATTCAGCTTTTGATTGATGTTTATTGTGGTTAAAGCAGATGTCAGAGTCAAAAATTCAGTCAGCTCACATACACTGCAATAAGCAAAGTTGCCCGTCACTGCAATTATACTCCCATGGCACTCTGACATCCCCATAATCTAGTAACACAAATATATTCCAGGCCATAACTTGTTAAAAGCTCAGTGTTCGAAAGCTAGAGAAGGCTAGAGACATTTCCAAGTTCTTTATGCTAGTTTTAAATCCAGTTTCAAACAACACATCATTAGTATGAGAAGGGGCACATCCACTTACAATGAATCCAAACACAACTGTGGTAAAGAAGCCGCCAATGAAGCCTTCCCAGGTCTTTTTGGGAGACAGCTGGACATAGAGAGAATTAAACAAGTTATAATTCTGAATTTAAGTTTCAGCGAGAGACTTTGTTGTATGTACTGAAGTAAAGAAAAACAGCTATACCTTTGAAAACTTGGATGCTATTTTTTGGATTGGGGTGGGTTGGGGGTGGTTCCCAAACATCAGGTAAGGTACAAATGAAAAATAATGAAAATCTGTGCTTTTATACCTAAAATTCAGTTGATGTGCTAGATAACAGAGAATAAACACTATTTCTATAATTTTCCATGCAGTTGCTTGTTACAACAGGCAAGCCCACCTACTCTCTACAGAATTACATTCCCAAACTAAGGAGAAATCCTCTTACATATCTGGTCATATCAGAAATAACATTATAACTAAATACCGTATATAAGCCAACCTGAATATAAGCTGAGGCACCTAATTTTAGTACAAAAAATTGGGAAAACTTATTGACTCGAGTATAAGCCTTGGGTGGGAAATGCAGCAGCTACTGGTAAATTTCACAATGAAAACAGATACCAATAAAATTACATTAATTGAGGCATCAGTAGGGTAAATGTTTTTGAATATTTACATAAAACTATAATTTAAGATAAAACTGTCCAACTCTGATTAAATAATTATTCTAACCTTCTTCAATGTCAATGTGCTTACATATCCTTCCAGTAATCACCATAGTTTATTTTAACTATACATTTTGGGGAAAATACTGTGTGTATATGAATAAGGAAAAGTGGGGAAGACTGGCGTGAGAAGGGGGTGGGAAAGAAGGACTGGAAATGTGAAAATGTTGGAATGGGAAGGGGTTGAAAAGTAGACAAATTAGGTGGAAGAGAGATGGCTGGAAAAATAAGACAGATTAGGCTGGGAAAGGGGCAACTGGGGAAGAAGGAATGACTGAGGTGTGAAAGGGGGGTGGAAACTAGAAAAGGTTGGAATAGAAAGGGGGACTGAAAAAGTGGGAAAGACTCCAGTCTAGAGTTTTAAGGAGGGTGGGGGAGATTTCTTTCCCTCCTTCTTTTTTCCTTTTTTCCTTCTCTTCCATTTCTTCTTTCCCATCTTTCCTTTTCCCCTAACGTCCCACCACCTCCTTTCCTCCCTTCCTCCCTTTTCTTGCTCCTTCTCTCCCTCTCTTTTCCTTCCTTCCTTCTCCCATTCCTTCCTCTTTCTCCTCCTTTACCGCCAACACTCCATGGCAACACTCCATACATCGTGCTCCGGAATCAATAGGGAGACACTGCTTCTGAGGAGCTGCCACCTTTGCAAAGGAGAAGGATGACGGTAATGTGCCTCTTTCTCTCTCACTTTGAGGGTCCGGGTCACTGAGAGAGAGAGGAGGGGAAGGAAGGCAAGGGGAGGGGGAAGGAAGGCAAGTGTTGAGAGAGAGGGGAAGATGAAGGCAAGCGCATGAGAGAGAGCTGGGTTACTATGCAGAGAGGTGAGGGTCCTGGTGAGAAGGTGTGGGGCTGAAAGAAGGGCTTCTTTCAGCCCTGCGCATTCCCGCCAGGACTCTCACTCAAGTATAAGCCAAGGGAGGCTTTTCAGCCATAAAAAGGACTGAAAAACTAGGCTTATATTCGACTATATACAATATATATTTTAGGAAACAGTGAGCTACAGAATACTACCATTTATTTATTTACTTACAGTATTTATATTCCACCGTTCTCGCTCCGAAGGTGACTCAGGGTGGATCACAGAACACATATACAGCAAACATTCAATGTCAATTATACATTACTATAACATAGTAATCTATGTCTACATCTGATATGACATTCGCAATCATGGTCAACTATCTAAGGAGCGATGTATCCCTCCTTAAACATAGGAAACCCTCCACAATAGCCATGAGGTAAAACATAGGTGTCCAAGCATATCCCCAGAAAAGCAACAGTTTTACAGAAGAAATTGTAGTAACTGCATATTTTGGTGCAATTCATACATTCTTTGATTAATAATTGAATTTTGTACCTTAATTAATGGAGTTCTGCCAAAAAAGAATCCAAAAATATAAGCTGCAATATCGTTGCAAATGACACTTGAGATTGGAACCAGAAACCTGAGGAGGGAGAACAAAAGGTTAATTTAAACTCAACAGCAAAAAATATTAAGCATGAATGGATTCTAGAAATTTCTGACCAACCCACAGTCAGAAGAATTTGCTCATGGAACAATATCATTTTTAGTATAACTTTAAAATAATCTTGGCCACCACCTTTTCAATCAAATGTTTGCAGTGATCACTCATGATAGCTCTGTAAAGCAAAGGAATTATGTACACTACAAAGATATGCCCATCAAATTGAAAGATCTAAAAACTGTCTGGGGGGGGGGGGGAGAACAGCAGAGATAAAGTGTAAATTAAAATGCAAGGTATATTATTAGTCCTATCACTTCGTACTTATTTATACCAATAGAATTATTTAAAAGTATATTCCTTGCTTGTTCTCCTTGTGTATGAAATCTATTCAAACATGAGAAGACCATAACAATGGATTCCAACTCCAGGAAAAGAGGTTCCACTTAAACATCAGGAAGAACTTCCTGGTACTAAGAGCTGTCTGACAGTGGAATATGTGGTCTCCTTCATGGAGGCATTTAAACAAAGGTTGGATGGCCATCTGTCGAGAGTGCATTGGTTGTGTATTCTTAACAAATTAGAGAGATGGGCCAAAACTAACAAAATGAAGTTCAACAGAGACAAATGCAAGATATTCCACTTACACAGAAAAAAACAAAACACAAAGATACAGAATGGGGACACCTGGCTCAAAAGCAGTGCATGTGAGAAAGATCTTGGAGTCCTCATGGACAAAAAGTTAAACATGCGCCAACAATGTAATGTGACAGCTAAAAAAGCCAACGGGATTTTGGCCTGCATCAATAGGAGCCTAGTGCCTAGACCCAGGAAGGTCATGCTACCCATGCTCTATTCTGCCTTGGTCAGACTACACCTGGAATACTGTGTCCAATTCTGGGCACCACAACTGAAGGGAGATGTTGACAAGCTGGAATGTCCCCCCAGGGGTGAGAAAGGCGATATATAAATACTGTAAATAAATAAATAAATATGTCCAGAAAAGGGAGACTAGAATGATTTGAATGGAAAACAAGCCCTACGAGGAGCAGCTTAAAGAGCTGGGCATGTTTCACCTGCAGAATAAAAGGCTGAGAGGAGACATGATGAGGGCTATGTATATAAATATGTGAGGGTAATTCATAGGGACAAGGGAGCAGATTTATCTTCTGCAGCCTAGGAGACTAGGATGCAGAACGATGACTTCAAACTACAGGAAAAGAGATTCCACCTCAACATTAGGAAGAACTTCCTAACAGTGAGAGCTGTTAAGCAGTGGAACTCTCTGCTCTGGACTGTGGTGGAGGCTCCTTCTTTTGAGGCTTTTAAACAGAGGATGGATGGCAATCTATCAGGGGTGCTTTGAATGTGATTTTCCTGCTTCTTGGCAGGGGGTTGGACTGGATGGCCCACAAGGTCTCTTCCAACTCAATGATTCTATGATTCCTGCATGGCAAATTGGGGTTGGATTGGATGGTCCTTGGAGTTTCCTCCAACCTTATGATTCTATGGAATTGTGACTGATAAGGTTAAGGTAAAGGTTTCTCCTTGACATTAAGTCCAGTCATGTCTGACTCTGCGGGTTGGTGCTCATCTCCATTTCTAAGCTGAAGAGATGGACTTGTCCAGAGACACCTCCAAGGTCATGTGGCCAGCATGACTGCATGGAGCTCCATGACTGATAATAATACATGCATAGCACTTAGAAAAATTTGCACGTGACAAATAATAAATAATCATAATCTTTTATAGTACTCTATCGACCTGAAGTTCACATGAACGAGGCTACAGTAGGCATTAGCCATTATTCTCTACTCCCCTCATATTCTTTCCAACGTGTAAAACATTATTTTTCTTGCCAGAGAAAACCCAATGTCCATTTTAAATTACTGGCAGGTATGAACAGTAGGGAAAACAAGGGGTGGAAATCAGGAGAGCTCTTGAGGTCATGCAGTGGCTACTAACTCAGCAGAAATGTTCACCGTCCATTCTTTGAACGGCAGCCAAGACAACATGCTGTATCACAATGGTCTTTCAAACTTCCTTCCATTTCAAAAGCAGTGTGCCATGGAGAAGTGGGCAAGGAAGTTCACTGGAAGCAAGACATGCTTGCTTATAGCTCATATAATGATTTTCATAACTTTTTAGATCATAGCCATGGTTAATGCACATGACAATCCTACTCTTCTAACAAGCACTGCAATTCAGTCAGAATTTTAATCACAAATCTACTAATGATGTTACTGTGACATGCCACACAAAAGGGAATGGGAGCATTCTTTAAAGAAATGTATGAGTTGCTGAGGAACATCCATACAGGCCTCTTCGAGCACTCTGGTCAGGCACCCAAATTCTACAAGTTTTAGAATAAGTTGTATAGATATCAACTAGACTTCCAAAAATCATGCATTTGGGACTCAAACAGCACTTTGTTCTTTAAGATGGGTCCAGCAATTGGTAATATTAGTTTAAAATTAAACTGATCTACAAAGAGTGATAAACCATATTAAAAAAACCATTTTCATCTTTTGCGATTAATGAATTTATTTTCCTGTCATTTCCAGATATTTTATTTTAAGGCCTAGATAAGAATTTACTAAATATCTGCAAAACCTGTGAAAAAGAGAGCTGAAAAAATAATAATCAGAAAGGTAATGCTTATACAACTGACATATATGCAGAGAGTTGCAAGAATTACTGTCCCCTTACCAGATCATGCCTTCAAACAGATTTTGGATGACAAGATGGGATTGAGTTACAGTGATCAGCAAAGTGACATGAGTCCATGCGAACTGTTAACGGTGCAATAACACAACAGTTAGTGACAGCACAGCACAACAGCACAGATCAATATGCTTAAATAAAAATGGTAGTTTAGCCAAAAGAGTGACACAGACATTCTAAAGAAATGAGAAGTGTATCACAAACAGTGTATCACAAACTTTGTTAATTCCTTAAGACAAGACAGGACAGTTATGAAAAGAGAACTGTATCAGATTGCCTACATTTTCTAAATCTGATAATCAAGGTATTCAACATTTTATCTTAACATCAATCAGGAAGTAGTAACATATTCTTTGTGTACGTATGAGACACAGTCTAGAGTTTAGACACAGAGATGTTAGTAGCAAGATTATGAGGAAATCATGCTGTATAATTATGACAATTACAAGGACAGAAGTTGGATGCTGCAAGTCACTGCCTAACATCTGGGATCTATACTGCATCTTTAACAACTGTTACTTCCAGCAAAACTTGTGCAAAGTAATAAGCTTTTCTAAATACATCCAGAATCTGGTTTAAATATGCATCCTCCATACCACTGTTTCTCCTGTATTATTCCCAAATTTGTACACAATCAGATGAATAAATATAGTGACACAAAGAGCAGGTATACACTCAACTTGAGTTTCCACAATCAAATCAGCAGAGTACACATGCTCATATTTTCAGTTATACTTCTAGTGATTTTATTTTTGGTAAGAACCGATTTCGTTTTACATATGTTTAGTTCTAAATATGCTGTTCTTTCACAGTCCAATTTATCATGTTGACATGCACCCAACAGTTTAAATTTCCCCTTATGTGTTTATCATCTCACACAGTTACAAGTATATTTGCAATAAATCCAGGAAGCAGTGCTGTCTGAAGATATCCTAAAATACTTGCTGCATCCACCCAAACCTATATAGCATTGACAACATTTAGATTCCAATTTCTGTAATCTTTTTCTAGTTATACTCTGTGAAGACCCTGAATACAATGTCAAATTTCCTGGCTTTTGACAGAAAAACAAGCCTCGCCTTCTCCAAATATTATTCATTCTAGATTGGCAGAAAGCATTATATACATAAATCTTCTATAACATATTGTCAACGGCCTCTCTATTACAAGTCAAATGTGGATTTGTGTCAATAATGTGAGTGGGTAGCCATTGTCTAAAGTTCATATGCCTTCAAAACATATTTCAACATTCTATTCAACACTGATAAAGAAGGAGTGATTAATGCTGACAATATCAAGAACAAGTTTAGAATCTAAGGGCTTGATACGCACCATGTAAAACTGTAGACGATAATGCCTTTTCACCAAACTCAACACAAACAGGCAGAAACCTGTACATGGAATATAAAACAAGTAAATGTGTTGCAGCATTATTCTAATACTATTGAAAGACTGAACAAACAGAAATTCAGCTGAAAACAAAAGATGGTTGTATTATCTGGTCACTCCCTCTTTGGTTTTCAACTATAACTGTCTTACCCACCCAATATAACTCAGAATCCTTTTTTTCTTTAGTGGTTAGTAAGTTTCCATTACACTCCTAATTCAATGCATAAGGGGCCAGATTAGACACTAGGCTCAGACAAGAACGACTGCACACAAGCAAACAAGACATGTTTCAAGGAAACCAACAGCAAAATCTTGAATCCTGGTAAGTTAAACACAAATTTAACAGATAAGTCAATTCCCTGTAATCTAAATTGCAACCATAGTTTTGTCCTCTGAGGTAGAAACCTTAAGAGTTAAAGTTGCCCATCAAGAAGATGAATAATATGGATTGCTGTTTTGAAACACATCTATTCCTATCTGACAACTTCTCTGCAAAGTTCATTAGTATGTTTTTTATGCTAATATTTATAGATTGCCTTTAAACACAAGCACTGAGACAGATGATTATCAATATACAACTTCACACTAACATGCAAGCCTACATAATCAGCACTGTAACAGCTCAACAGCTGAATCCTCCAACAGCCAAATACTTAATGGAATATAAATGCCACCACTGCTTTCCTGAAACAGTATATAGAGGAAGCCAAGGACCACATTCCAACAACTGCAAGAATAGCTGAAAATGTGTTGCTGTAGGATTGGAGGCCTCAGAGTACAGTAAGGTCTGATTCCAGCAAAGTATTCTTCTACATCTAGTTTATCACTCAATGATTTACACAACACAGTTGTAAGAATAAACGGGTAGCAACCTCTAGATATGAATTTCAAGAGCTAAGTGAAAGCCAGAGGTAGCACAAGCTGCATGTATGAAAACTGGTTCCAGCCTTTACAAGATATAGAAAGCCAATTTAGTTTCTCCCAGATGAATAGTTTCTTATACTGAACAACACTATCTCTTTGACTTGATTTACCAACATGCTGGAAAGCAAAGTCACTGGAATAAAGATCCCTCACAACTGTTTCATAGTTGGGAAAATATGTCTATCCCTAATACACAAATCCAAAGTGTTTCCTCAAAGTGTTGCAAATTTTCACCAACTTCAATCTTGATTGACATATATGCCGCCAATAAACCCTAACTTTACATGCTGGCTTTCTAAACATTATGCATACTTATTTCAAGAGCCCCTACCCGTGTTCTTTGCTTGGCTGATCTAAGCCAAAATACCCATGTATTTGTTGCAGGAATAGCAGCCACAAGCAGGAGTTCCACCAGCCAACAATCACTGTACCAGCCAACAATCAGCCTTCCACAATCACAGATTCTGTTTCCATGGATTCAACCTTCTTGATTTTGCCATTTTATAAAGAACTTCATTTTATCATGCCATTGTATACAGCAAGAGCTGACCACGCATAGACACTGGTACCTATTGAGAGGGGGGCTGTTACCAAACCCCAGAAGATACCAAGGACTCGCTGTGCACTTTTTTTTTGGTCATGTCAGGAGCGACTTGAGAAACTGCAAGTCGCTTCTGGTGTGAGAGAATTGGCCGTCTGCAAGGATGTTGCCCAGGGGACGCCCAGATGATTTGATGTTTTTATCATCCTTGTGGGAGGCTTCTCTCATGTCCCCCATGAGCTCATCCGCCTCTCCCCGGATTCGAACCTGCGACCTGTCGGTCTTCAGTCCTGCCAGCACAGGGGCTTAACCCACTGCACCACCACTGGTAAATGGGAAGCCACTGCCACCTGGTCCCTCAGACTATTACATTACTTCAGTTTTAAGAGACATAAATTTGCCTTTATCTTATTATGTGTTAATCTACTCTAATTCCCTCTGAGCTCTAATGAAAAGAGCAGAGCCAATAATTAAAAAAATACAAAATAGCTGATGGAAACTTCTGCACGCTTCCAACAGATCTTTCTGTACTATATTCCAACATGAAAATAATATCATAAAAATTTAAAAATAATGGAGTAGGACTACCATTACCAAGTTCTCAATATTCATTGCAACGTGTTGAGCAGAAAGCAGCAAACTAAGGCCTGTGGGCCAGATGCAGCTCTCCAAGGTCATTTACCTGGCCTCCGCCCTAAACTTTAGACTTAGGGTTTCTCTAGGTCTGAAACAACTTGCAAGCATACAACAACAACAACAATTAACTTGATTATTTAATTAGCCAAAAGCAGGCCCACATTTCCCACTGAAATACCGGTAAGTTTATGTTAGTTAAAAATTGTTCTTTATTTTAAATATTGTATTATTCTTTCATATCTTTTGCACCGGAAATAAGATATGTGCAGTGTGCATAGGAGTTCGCTCATGTTTTTTTCAAACTATACTCTGGCCCCTCAACAGTCACAGGGAACATGAACTGGCCCACTGTTTTAAGTTTCTGCATCCCTGGTGTTGAGCATTATTTCAAGAGGCAGCATACATATTAATTCTAGAATTTCTGCTTTAACAAAAAATGTATAAATAATATTTAGTATTTTCCTCAACATGTTAGAAATATTTATATCGATTTTCTATCACATATTTTTAAAACAAGCCTCTCACACATACAGAAAGGGAATAATACAATAAAAGAACAAAACTTAACAGTAAAACAAAAACCAAAACCAAAAAAAGGCACTAACAAGATGAAGTAAATTACCTGCTAGATAAAGTGTAAAGGATATAAACCGGTGATAGCGAATTAGGAACTGAAGTTGTTCTCGCCTTTGAACAAATGTGGCAAAGTAATCTGCTACAGTCTCGCCATAAAAGAAGTAGTTCACACAAAGCAGGAAATACCTGCAACATATATAGGTGCAGAGTTCATTTCAAATTAGGGAACCATGTGTTTGTATTTTCTTTTTATACTTTTATGTCTCTGAAATTGAAGAATCCAATTAAAACTGTACATTCAGACCCCAACATTTTGTATACTGTACTTAAAATATTGTACAAACCTATGGTGAAAAGATACCATAGAGCTTTATGATAGAGAGGAAGCGTATAGGAACATGTAAATATTTTAAATTGTCTGATTTAAGGTAAAGGTTTCCCCTTGACATTAAGTCAAGTCATGTCTGTCTCTGGAGGGTGGTGTAAATCTCCATTTCTAAACTGAAGAGCCGACGTCGTCCATAGATGCCTCCAAGGACAAGTGATAGGCATGACTACATGGAGTGTCGTTACCTTCCCTTCAGAGCAGTACCTATTGATGTACTCACATTTGAACTGCTAGGTTGGCTGAAACTGAGTCTTACAGCAGGAGCTAACCCCACTCCCTGGATTCAAACTGCTGACATTTCAGTCAGCAAGTTCAGCAGTTCAGCGGTTTAACCCGCTGCGCCACCAAGGCAGTATAATCAAATCATTGATTTATCATCCACTACAAAGCTGTACTTATGATCTATGAATAGAGATAGAAAAATTGCACTTGTTTCTTACCAGCTTAGGGTTCTAAACCATGGCAAGTCATATGAACGGTAAACTCTATAACCTATAGTGATGATTTCATGGAAACACTTCACTTGTATGCCCAAGACCTGAAATAGAGATACAGGGTCAGTAAAGTTCATATGCATACATGCAGTTTCCCCAAACCACCAAATGTAATACTCTTATTTTAAAATGTATCACATTCACTCTTCCCACTAGTCTTCCCCAGCACACTGTATCTGGTTGCTGTCATTATATATCTTCCTGATGCTAAGAGCTGTTTGACAGTGGAATATGCTCCTTGGAGTGTGGTGGCGCCTCCTTCTTTAGAAGCTTTTCAAATAAACTGGGTGGACATTTATTGGGAATGCTTTGTGTGTTCCTAAACAGCAGGGAGTTGGACTGGATGGTCTTTTAGAGCTCAATAGTTTTATGATTCAAGTTATTCCTAGCTTATAGCAAGGGTTTTTGGCAAGATTTCAGAGGGATTTTTGCCCTTCCTTCCTCTATGGCTGAGAGATTGAACTAGCTCCAAGATCACCCGGCTTCCTTGTCCAAGAAGGAATTTAAAGTTCTATTTTCCAGAGTTTTGGTCCAACAAATCATTACACCATGCTGCCTCTTAGTATATCTAGTGATGGTTGGTTTATATATTTGTAACCACTGAAGTTCATACTCCATTAATTTATCCAATCATCTTTGAAAATGATGCAAGTTGGCACCTATCACAAAATCTTTTTGGCAGTGAGTTCCACAGTCTGACAAAGTAGTGCATTAAAAAGTACTTCCTTTCACATGGCTAGAATCTCCCATCAGTAATCTTTGTTGCATCCCTGAAGATGAAGAAATTGCAATCACAACATTTCCTTTCTACTCCTGGCTATCTCAAGATTTCTTTCATGTCAGCAGTACAATACAGGCACTACAACTCTGCTACTGCTGTGAACAATAGAGAATCAATAACCCTTGCCAGTTTACTTCATATGGTGACCTATTATGAGATCCAAATTTATCTCATTCTCTTATGCTAGTGAAACAAAGTACATCAAGCAAATAGTTTGGCACACTTACAAGAAGCATCAGCATAAATGACCCCATGTATATGATCAGAAAAAAAACTGAAATCATAAGCAATGTTAAAATCCCTCGAATCCACCAATTCTTCCATCTGAAATGGGGAAAAAACATAAAAAATAAAGTTAGAGCTCTTCACACAAAGGTAAAGAATGTCCCATTTAATAATTAATCTGCACTATCACCAATTAGTAGATGGGGAAGGGCATGCTTATGATGAAATAGAATTATCTATCATTAGCATAAAATAATTCAATTCCAAATGAGAATACAGGCTAAGTATTCCTCATAAAAATATTCCAGAAGAGTTTGAGATTTCAGATTTTGAAATATTTGTGTTTGCATATATGAACAAAATGAGATGTATAAGATATTGCTTCTTGAACTGTGGGTCCTGACCCAAAATGGGATCCCCTTAGCTCAACATTGGGGTCCTGGAAAATTTGGCAACAGTGAAAGTTTTCTGAACATCACCTAATGCAGTGGTTCTGAATCTGTGGTTCCCCAGATGTTTTGGCCTTCAACTCCCAGAAATCCCAACAGCTGGTAAACTGGCTGGGATTTCTGGGCATTGTAGGTCAAAACATCTGAGGACCCACAGGTTGCAAACCACTGACCTAGTGATTGTTTTAGACACTTACATGAATCTGCTGTGCAGTGTTTACAGTGGAATCTGAAGAAGATGCTCAAGAAAAACAGCCTTCTTAGCAAACCTTGTAAATGCTGTTTGGTCAGCAGTAACTGCATGCCTATTTTATATACCTATAAACCCACGTTAAAAATTCTGGGGCTAAAAGGAGTCCTGAGTGGAAAAGTTTATTTAAGAAGTCCTGGTCTAGGAGGTAGAAACCAAATGTAATGAAATTCAGCTGTGTTTCATATACACTGTAGTCATATAGCCTGGAGGTAATTTTATAAGATTTTAAATTTACTTTTGTGCATGAAAAAAACTTTGTGTACATTGAACCATTAGCAAGCAAAAGTGTTACTATCTTAGCCACACATGTGAACAATTCTGGAGGATTTAGGAATTACAGATAAGGGATGCTCAACCAGTATAACACCATTCAAGCCTTAGATTGCTCAGCATTCAATGTAATGTCGAAGGCTTTCATGGCCAGAATCACTGGGTTGCTGTAGGTTTTTTCGGGCTATATGGCCACGTTCTAGAGGCATTCTCTCCTGACATTTCACCTGCATCTATGGCAAGCATCCTCAGAGGTAGTGAGGTATTCTAGATGCAGGCGAAAAGTCAGGAGGGAATGCCTCTAGAACATGGCCATATAGACCGAAAAAACCTACAACAACCCAGCGATTTCATATTCATTTGGACTGTACAATAAAGGAACAACTCAGGAAAGTTTGAATTGACATGTAGCATAAATTATGGCAAATATATAAGTAAATAATACTGCTGTGGTTTGTTTAAAAACTAAAATCCAGTAATACATTACGGCTGGTCTTTCTTAAAGAAAAAAAAAGGTCATTCTCTTAGAAAAGGGCACCTCTAAGCAACATATTCCAAAACTCTAGTAATGCTTCATCAGTACCTGGAAGATAAGCCAGAAAGGGCTTTCTTAAAAATTACTGGAGTGCTGTCTCTTGCTGGAACAACTTCAGGAACATCTAAATCTGTTCTGAGATCTAGTTCCGCAAACCTTTCATCTCCATCTGCATCCTTTAAAAAATACAAAATTCAAGCACAATACTTGGGCATGTAGGCACAAATACATCAACACATTGATTCACCCCAGGAAATAGCATTATATAGACATTTATCCAATATGAAATGTAGCACTTCAAACAACTTATGAGGTTTGAGAAACAGGTTCTCAAAAAAACCCCCGGAAAATGAAACCTAGGCCAAATTGATTCCTAAGTCGCAACATTCCAAACTGCAGAACTCTATATACAAGCTATAAAGCAGTTTCTCACTTGATTTGAAAATTAATCTGCTCACTGGTTTCAGAATACTATTTAGAAATTTAGAAGTTTTAGAAATTGGCTTTCATAATCTCAATACATGCATATGCGCATAACACTTACAATTTAAGTGCTCCTATAAGTAGTTGTTGGCAAATCATCAGAAACAACCACATTAAATTTCACATCTTGAGAGAGCAGCTTTGCTGTATCAAAGCTGTATAATTATTTCATAGCATTTTCTTAAGGCCTGATATACCTGCTCAAGTTCAATTTATTATGGTTTTTTCCTTAAATAAATCTTTGTTATTGAAATTATTACTGCATTCCAACATTGCATTCCTAATTCTATACACAAATACTGCTAGGTAAACACTTTTCTAAATGGAAACTGCCAACTTATTAACAGAAAAACATTTTACTGTACATGTATTCAGTATCATTCATATCTCAAAATGAAGGTCATTCTGCTGCTTCGAGAACATTTTTGCCTGGAAGGCAGGGTATAAATATTATAAACAAACAAAGTGGAGAAAACATAATTTGGCCACAGGGAAAAATCTGTGAAATACAAGGCCTGAAAGAACAGTTTCTAAAGGGAAAGCTTAAGAATATAGAGATTGTACATCTGTACCACAATTATAAAGGGGAATTAATTTCATTTTGCACAAATATTGCTTCTAAGGAATAATAATCAGAGCAGGATGCGAACTATTCTTCAAGGTATGGAAGAGTCATTGGTTTTTAAAACCTTCAAAGGGAGAGGTGCAATATGCAATTAAAAGTTTCATAGAAATTGTGACTTTTTTGTGAAAGTCATTAGTAGAATGTCTTGAAACTATGTTTAACACAAAAACAAGCAAGTTACAACTTACCACATCTTTTTTTCTAAGAGAGGTACATATATTCCCATGTCTGCAATCATCTCACTAGAGTTATAGGTTTTATTTATTTATTTATTTATTTATTTACTATACTTGTATATTGCCTTTCTCAACCTTATCGGCGACTCAAGGCAGTTTACAACAAGTCAGTACACATAACAACAAAATACTAATTGAACATTAAAACAGTATAAAACCACAATAGCAGCAATAATTGACTGCTCTAAGCTCAAATAAATAACAAAATTATCCTTGTTGGTTTCTCTTTCTTCTTTTCTTCAGAGGCAAAACCCCTAGTTATATCTGGTACTTGAATGTCCAAAGGGGTTTGTTGATGCATCAGTAATAATGCAAATGTCTGTAATAAAGTGTATTTCTATGTTAAACCGCTGAGCTGCTGAACTTGCTGACTGAACGGTTTGCGGTTTGAATTCAGGGAGCAGGGTGAGCTCCCACTTTTATGCCCAGCTTCTGCTGATCTAGCAGTTTGAAAACATGCAAATGTGAGTAGATCAATAGGTATTGCTTCTGCAGGAAGGTAACAGCACTCCATGCAGTCATGCAGCCACATGACCTAGGAGACATCTACGGACAACGCCGCCTCTTCGGCTTAGAAATGGAGATGAGCATCACACCTCAGAGTCAGACACAACTAGATTTAATGTCAGGGGAAACCTTTACCTTTACCTATATGCTAAAAAATTAATACTATACATTTTTGGAATTTGCTAGATCCTCAGATTCTACTTTTATCAGAAAGGCCACCTGGCACTGGATTTAGAAGAATTAGACTTACAAGCTTTGCCTCAAAAAAACAAAAACAAAACAAACAAACAAAAAACAAAAAAAACAATCCACTTTGGACCTAAAAAAATCCCCCCCTTTTTTTTTGCAGTCTTTTTTAAAGTACAGCAGATTTGCTATTTTAAAAAGAAGCTTTCTGTTCCCCAAAAGTTTAAGTATAAAGATCTGGTGGTCTTTCTCTATAAATTGCAGTAGTTCTGCTATCACATGAATTAAAGCCAACAGATCTCTTATTGTTTCACAGAATTGACTTGGATACAAAAACCAACAAATGAAAGGCCCTACCTAGATAACTAGATAAGTAAGAAATGTATTAAGTACTTGAGTAATGTTATTTTACTGTCTAACAAGCTTCTCCAAATCTGCTGATGTTGACAATTGGTAATTCTAAGGGTGGTGACTTGGGGGAGGGGAGGGAGCTGTATAACAACAGATCAGGGAAGGGGGGGGGGGTCAACAGAGCATTTTTTATCATAGCATTTTTAAAAGGTATCAACTGGTCTTTGTGACTAAATAAAATTATTCACTAGCCACACTATGAGTTATCCATTCTGTTGCTTTCACCAGAATTATTTATTTTTTCGTCTGTGGTGCAACCTAAAAATCTTATCTGAAAGGATCGCACATTCTACAGCTGATTTTTTGGTGCCACAGTGGCTGCAATGAGAAGGAAAGATGAAACAAGTTTCAGCTCAATCTGTATAAAATAGCACAGCATTGGATTTTGGACAGTTTTTTTTTAGTTCAAACTGCGGTTATATTTCAGGAAAGTACATACTAGATTGGCATATGAATTATTTTGACACACAGACAGATCCAGAAAGTTGGGCATTTAAGCAGACTATATGTTCTTTCAACAGTCAGTGAAATACTTAAGGTGTAACTCCAGAAACAGATGAAGGACATGCAAAAGCTATTCAAACCTTGTAAAACAAATAAGAGTAGAAATTGATACTTTCTAGACGATTTGAAAACTCAACATGAAAAGTTTCGGTCACTTGCCAAAACAATTTGGCTACATTTAAACCACTTCAATCTACTTCACTTGCAGCACTCCTTCAAAACACAAATTTTGAAAAAGAACTGGCAATTTCACAACCATTTACCTGATTCTAAGTATATCAACATCATAAAAATGTATTACATTTAATTGCATGTACATAAATATATACATAAAAATTTATGGAAATAAAAAAATGTAACTTCAAAATTTTGGTTCTATTTTTATGATTAGGACTTATTCTTGGCCCTCTGTATCTCTGAATTCTGCATCCATGACTTGAAAATATTTTTTGTTAAAATTCCAAAAAGTAAACCTTAATTTTGCCATTTTATATAAGAGAAGCCACTTTACTACACTATTGTATATAAAGAGACTTGAGCACCCATAGATTTTGATATCCATGGGGGAACCAAACTCAACCAGATACAATGAGGCTAGTATAATTTTGTTTTAAAGATTAGAAAGACAAACTCTTATTTATTTAAAAGCCAATCTTTTCCACAATGTGGGGAAAATGTGTCTCATAGTAGAATCAGGGTTGAAATACCTTAAAGGCAACAAATCTCATCTAATCTTGGAAGGTAAGCAGGGTCAGTCCAGTATTTGGATGGAGACCGCCAATGAGTATCAGATGCTGTATCAAAAACTACCTCTGCATATTCCTTGCACAAGAAAACCTGATTACATTTGTAGAATTATTACAAACAGACAAGTGAAGGCACATACTCGCACACAATGCAATCCTCTATTTCAATTATGTTTGTTTATTGAAAGCTCATGTTTCAGAATTGAGAATTTGCTTAGTAGATACATTGCTTCACTTTACCCTACCTCTATACAAATAAATATTGAGGATAGTTTTGACGGTGAGGTGAATGAATAGAACCAGACATCCTGAGCAGTAAGGTTGAATGGGCCTTAAGAAGCATTGCTAACAACAAGGCAGCAGGAGACAACAGGATCCCAGATGAACTGTTTAAAATCTTGAAAGATGATGCTGTCAAGATGATGTGTGCCATATGCCAATAAATACAGAAAACACAAGAATGGCCATCAAACTTGGAAAAAAAATCAACTTATATCCCCATACTAAAAAAGGGAAATGCTAAAGACTGCTCAAACTTTCGTACAGTGGCACTAATTTCTCATGCTAGTAAGGTCATGCTCAAGATCCTGAAAGGAAGACTCCAGCAATACATGGAGAGAGAGTTAGCAGATGTACAAGCTGGCTTTAGAAAAGGCAGAGGAACAAGAAACCAAATTGCTAATATCCGCTGGATAATGGAGAAAGGCAGGGAATTTCAGTTTTATTGACTATTCTAAAGCCTTTTACTGTGTGGATCATAATAAATTGTGGCAAGTTCTTGGTGGTATGGGCATACCAAATCACCTTGTCTTTCTCCTGAGGAATCTGTATAAGGACCAAGTAGCAACAGTAAGAACTGACCATAGAACAACAGACTGGTTCAAGACTGAGAAAGGCATACGGCAGGGTTGTATACTCTCACCCAGCCTATTCAACTTCTATGCAGAACACATCATGCGATGCGCGGGGCTTGATTAATGCAAGGCTGGGGTAAAAATTGCTGGCAGAAATATTAACAACCTTAGATATGTAGATGATACCACTTTGATGGCCGAAAGCAAGGAGGAGCTGAGGAGCCTTTTAACCAAGGTGAAAGAAGAAAGTGCAAAATCTGGGTTGCAGTTAAACATCAAAAAAACCAAGATTATGACAGCCAGACTGATTGATAATTGGCAAACAGAGGGAGAAAACGTGGAGGCAGTGACAGACTTTGTATTTCTAGGTGCAAAGATTACTGCAGACATAGACTGCAGCCAGAAAATCAGAAGATGCTTACTCCTAGGGAGGAGAGCTATGACTAATCTTGATAAAATAGTGAAGAGTAGAGACATCACACTGGCAACGAAGATCCGCATAGTAAAAGCAATGGTATTCCCCATAGTAACCTACGGATGTGAGAGCTGAACCATAGGGAAGGCTGAGCAAAAGAAGATAGATGCTTTTGAACTGTGGTGTTGGAGGACAGTTCTGAGAGTGCC